CTTGTTAGCCCTCATCCAATCCCTAACGGCCTCAAGACCCCGGTTCATCACGTCCACCGCTTCATTGAGTTGGCACGGGGCGGACAGATACAACTGAGTATCGTCGGCGTATTGATGGTATCTTATCCTGTGCCTCCGAATGATCTCACCCAGCGGTTTCATGTAGATGTTAAATAGTAGGGGGGATAAGACCGAACCTGCGGCACCCCATATGTTAGGGGCCTCATGAATTGAACTAATTGTCTCCTGCAAATTCCCCTCCCCTTTCACTCCTCTTTATTTCCTATGGGAGAGGCCATTCATCGTCCACCTGTGCCTTTACTGCTGAATCGGCCCTTGTTCCTTAGCTGTCCCCTTCTCCTAGCAACACTGTGCTTGCGCACACTGGGAACAGGCTCCAGCTGTTCTTCTGCTTCACTGATGTACGACTCTGAAAGCAGCCGATAACTGTCGGACAGCCTTGACCCTATCTCTGCCTCCAACACAGAGCCTCGTCCAAGTCTTCCCCAGACTCCAGGACTGACCCATGTTCCTCCCCAACCTCCTCACTGTCTGAGTCTGCCCTCAGCTCCGCTGACCACTGGAGGGCCACAAAACTGACACATATATAAGAGAACAGAATTCTTTAAATCTATTCTACGGATATTTGAGAAACCCTGCTACTCTATGCAATGTAATGGCTTCATACACAGATATGAACTTATAACCATTCATTTCATGACCCTTTGAAGTTACAACAGCACTGAAAAAAGAAAGTTCAGATCATTCTTCACACTTACGACGGTTGTTTCCCATGGTCGTGGGAACAAAATTCAGACCATGTGCTGGAATCACGTGATCACCAATTGTAATGTTCCAAGCCGGCTTTCAACAAGCAAAGTCAATGGGGGAGGCCAGACTCACGTAATTAAAATCAAGAGTAGAGTATGAATTAGAATTAGAATTAGAGGTAGAACAGAACAGAATAGAAAATAGAATAGAAAATAGAAGAGGAGAGGAGAAGAGAATATAGAATATGGATTGGAATGGAATGGAATAGAAAATAATAGAAAATAGAAAGTAGTAGAAAATAGACAATGGAATGGAATGGAGTCGGAGTGGCTCTGGTTCCCTCTCTGCCTCTGATACAGAGCCCTCCTCAGAGCCTTCCCCAGACTCCAGGACTGGCCCAGGTTCCTCCCCAACCTCCTCACTGTCCGAATCGGCTGCCAGCTCCCTTGGCCGCTGGTGGGCCACAACACCCTGGATGGATTTAATATGGTATAGAATTTATTTCCTGCAAGGAGAGGGCAGGTGTGGACTTGTAGAGATTAGTAGACACACTTCCCTCTCTTCTGCTCATTTTAGAGAAACATTTAAAGCACTCTCCCTGCATCATGCTCACAAGGCTGGAACAAATTTAGGTCTATGTTCTTGGTTTCCTATTATAATTATAATTATAAAACTGCCCAAAGAGCTGCTGATTCAGTTCTACAAAAGAATTATTGAGTATGTTAGCTGCACCTCCATAACTGTCTGGTTTGGCTCTGCAACCCAACAAGACAGACACAGACTTCAATGGAAAATCAGAACTGCAGAAAAAACAATGGCTACCAACCTGCCTTCCATTGAGGACTGTACACTGCA